CGTAACCACTGGGTTTCCAACCTTGTACTTTCCGATTACTAAGCCAGCTGGTGGACCATTCTGTCGCTTAAACCCGAATCAATGACCCGTGAATCCTAACTTCCACCAATTCGTGATATATATATATATATATATGGCGCAACCGCTAGCCAGTTGGAGGACCATTGGAAAACCTCATCTCATGGTCAATCGTGTAATCAATCACATTCATGCAAAGTAACACTTGATAAAAGAATGACTTGCATTCTTTGCTTGTAATATGGAATCTTTCGAAAAAAAAAAAATGGAAACAGCCGAAACAAACATTGAAGCAGTATAACATGAATCTACTTTATTTCAATTATTTCTTTTCAGCCATGTACAGCTTCCAGCATTCATTGCATGGTGTTGTTCTGACATCAGATCAAATGAACAGGTCATATCAAGATCCTGTCTACTAGACACTGAATAATAATTTTAATTTTATAATTCGGAATTTACTGTAGGTAACGACCCGCTTAACATGGAAGAAAACACCTAGATAAGTAAGTAGATAACCTGTAAAAGCGGAAATGGTAGTCTTCTTGAAAATAGAACATTAAGAAATACTAATACAACCATACAGTGTAGTTCTTATTTGAAAGCAACCGCGTCGACATAATGATGTTAACAGATTTATTGTGATAAAATATGCGGGGTTACTTTCCAAGGTGAACGAAATAAAAAACTGAGTGTTATACAGATCTAAGATGCATTTAACGACTCTTTGTTTTACTTCCTGACTTCGAGTTCGTTTTCTGTTGACTGACTTATCAATGTCAAATTTGCGCATGTAAAAGAAAAGATACCAGTACCCCTGGTCTTCAGTGGTTCTATAAGAAATCAGATCCCAACAAAATAACTCTTGGAAATTAATTTGATGCTCTCTAGTGACTAGCTACAGGACGAAATTGACTGGAGTTCTAGTGAGAAGTCATGACCAGTGGGGTCGAACCTGTAGCGAGTGAGGATAAATGCTCTCCGATGATATTGACTGGTGGCCTCACTAAAATCATGAACTGGTACAAGTTAGAATTCATGGGCCATTGATTCCGGTTCCAGTGGCTAAATGGTCTACGAGCATGTCTTCTAACCGGAAGTTCCTGGGTTCAAACCCTGGTGGTGGGTGTGCACTGATGATGAATCCCAAACTAGGCTGACGAAACAGATGTCCAGTAACCCCTGGTGGTTTTCAGTGGTTTTCTAACTGATATCAACCAGTGCTTTACTGGTAGAATGATCACCTACGACGCGGATCGTCCATTTTTGATTCCCAGCCGACACAATCTTAAGAAAGCCTCACTTAGCACGTTGTAAAATCGCTGAAGACGGTAGTTTCAGTGTCATAATAACGTCCCCACCCCGTGAAAGAATGACACTGCCTAAACAGTAAAGCTCAAGCCTGTGATCTTATGTTCCACATTTGATTGTAATCACATTTTTAAAGGAAATACCTATTCGGTAATTCCTGACAATTCATGAAATAGTGTAACAATCACTCAGTGAGTATCTGCCTTCACTGTTAGTCTGGCAGTGAAGATAGATTTTAAGATTTTGCTTCGAATTTTCGGATCCCTATCAGAGAGTTATTGAGAAATATAAACACTGTACTACTTACTGATCACATTTTTATAAGCCTGAAATATTTATCATAATGTTAGTTATTTAATACTTCGAGTGTGGTAGCAACTACTACTCTTCTTACTACTATGAATTGTATACCGCTGAAAATACAGTAATCAGTACAAGCTATAAATTAGACGGATTCTAACTCTGGAAACTGCCTGATGTCTTCCAACCTTTCATATCTAACTGAGGACGTTTAATCACTAGGCTTTATGACATTTCTCATTTAAAAGTATGGCAAATTCATGTGGCCAATGAATTTAGTATCAAAGAAGTCACCGAGCCTAGTAATGAAACCCCAACGATCAAATATTAAAGCTTAAAAAGTAGTGAATAATGCTCGTCTTCACTAGCATTTCAATATTCAAATTTCATCCTACCCTTAATATTCAAACTGAAAAATCAATCGATTTTTGGAATTTTATGACTAACTTGGTTACTTGATTAGGTGCGAAAAAGGACCAATTAACACCTAAAATTTCGCCACACACACACACAGCTCCAGTTAGTAACAGGTATCTATTTCAGTTATCCAGTGTACATATTTGTACACACACACACACATTTTATGATGTCCATACAGTCAAGTCATAACTTGAAGGTTGTTAGGTGACAGTTATAGTCATTTTTTCAAATATTAGTCATCGCCATGTTGCGTAACCTAACTAGTTTCTAAATGAATGAATCAGACCTGGGTAGATTACGTTATTGCATCTTATTATAAAGGTGTTAAATGTTATTCATTCGATTAGGCAATCAACATCTAAATGATGCGAAGTAACCTTGAACCTTGCATTGCTCGACGAAACTTGTAGTCACTAAGTATACATATTATTCATCTTGTTGAACATGATGAATGTGGTCCAATGGCAGATGAATGTTCAGGTGGGTTTGCACTTTTCAGGTACTTTAAAACACTCCTTATTGCGACAACAATTACAAGAATCCAACTTTTAATTAACAAGTCTTAGTAAGCCGCTTTTGTTTTTGGTAAAATACATATTAGTAGAGAGAAGACCAGTAGTTCAGCAACGAGTCTCTTTTCTATGAGTTTTTTTCACAGCTGCGCAGTTGCAAAATAACCAGATATGTATATTTCCGATTATACAGCTGTGAAAATGAATTTGCCGAAAAGAGACTCTTCACTGAACTATTGGTCATCTCTCGATTAATGTATGAATGGGGATTTTTCATGAATATTACATATTGCCTAAAATAATAAAATATTATATATGCCTATCAATTACTGTTCGATAGTTTGAAGATTTTTCAATTCGATACACTTTTATGTATGAAATATTTAAGTCTTTGACCTTCAGTGAAGTTCATTTCAACCTTTCATTAATCCATAAAAAATGAGTGATCGATACATGCATGATTTAACACGCTTATTAACTGATTCCTTTTTAAACTTATAAAACACGTTTTCAAATCAATAATGCTACTTCATAAATTAAATGTGTTATAATACTACTATTACCATGACAACAATAACTACTACTACTACCATTACTCTTACTGGCCTGTTATTGGTTCAGTGGTAAGATGCTCGCCTATCACGCATCACGTGGACCGGAGTTCGATTCCTAACCGACACACACCTTTACCTCCCATAGTCCTATAAAGAAGGAAGGTTGGGAGTGGAACCTGCAACCCCACTCAGTAAAAAAGCCTCACTGACACGAAAACTTCATGGCTCAAGCTTGAGGTCCTATACTCTGTCGGGAATTCAAGGGAGTAACTAGCAATAATAATAAAGCTCATCGTTATCATGCTTGTATCTATTCTGTTGAAGGCTGACACAATCCTCGAATTTCAAGTGTTCTGGTTTTTAAAAGCCTCTAAATTTTTCAGGTTAAACTCAATAAAGAGGTAACCTTAGGCTTAAGAGTAAAATTATTAGTTCTTATCTTGAAGTAGGCGAAAATATATGCTTAAGAATAATAATGATGGCCTCTTTCCAAATACTATTTTTGGTATAAATATGGAATTTTCAGAATTACAGTACAGTATTGTATCTAACATTCTCATTATAGGAAGAATAATTAAATAAGAAACTGAAAATTAAGTTAAATTAAGTAAAAATATTAACAACAATATAGTAATGGAAAAACGAGGCCGCTGACTTGGAGTTCTGCAGTAAGTTGGCAATTTCCTGTCTTATACTATTCTCATCTCATAATATGTATGCTACATAAGGTACTGTAGAGTCTTTGTACTGTACCGAGCATACAGTCTTCTATAGTTGCTTTTAGTTCTACCTGATGAGGTAGATGCAAGGAGAGAGTTGTGTGTAGAGAGAATGCTCAGAGTCTGACAAGATAATATTTGCTAATTCCTTGCAGGAGTCCATGCGTCTGTCTACGGTAGTATTAAATAGTTGGTTTAGAAATGCCCCCGCACTCGCCCTAGTGACGGCTTATAGTGCCCTACGCAGTATAACAAAGTCTTTCTTAAGTAGTCCGGAAAAGATTAAGGGGGAACACTGAAGAAGTATAGGCAGAACACAGGAATTAACAAACTGTAACAGTAGAGACGGAATGATACCAGATCGTCTTAATTTCCTTACATGGAACGCCAAACGAAATACTTTTCTGGAAACTAACATGATGTGGGAAGACAAGGGAAAATAAGACGAATTGTACAGTCCAACGTATTCAACATTCGATTTAGTTTCAACTTCTGTGGCATCTATGATAGTAGAACCGTACGAACTGACCAGTTCATGTAAGTCACTCTTACCTCTGAGAGTAAACTTAACCACCTGACATTTGGAGAGATTAAGCTTACGATCATTTGACTAGGAACACTGACTAATTTCTGATAAATAGTTATTCATTTCGGAATAGTCTGAATGAGAAGTAACCACTGGTATAGAAACAGTCGGATCATCGGCATACTTAACAAAATTGGCTTCGTCAGTATGGGGCAAGTCATGCTGACTGACTATCACCACATAACATCTTCGAAGGACACTCCAAATTCCAAGATAGATTATTCCATCGAACTCATTTAATAGTCTAAGAGCAAATCAACCAATAATTTCAAACAGTTTTTCCTCATTGAGAAGAACCAAAGAAACAATATGATGTCATGTTATTCAACTCATTCTGTTGTTGTTCCTGCTTCACTCAAGAAAATCAATAAATTTGAAAATATCAACATTGTAATTATTCTACACTGATGATTATCTATCTAATCAATAATTAAATATCGACATTTATGTGTGTATATACAGTACATTAAAGTATTATTAGTATAACTGTTTAACATTGAAAAAAAATTAAATAGCAGTACAGTAAATGAACACTTAAACTATTGGAAGAATAAAGTCAACTAATGTCAAATCAACTTACGTATAACTTTTTCTTTGTCTTCTCCTGTCTAAATTTGTCACCAAAGGATTTTTTGTTGTAATAATCCGATAGTAGGATGAAGTACGATGATAGTAATAATAATAATAACAATAATGGATAATGATTGATATTAGTAATAATAATAGTGTTGTCGATATAAGTTGGTTATGGCTTATCGTTCGTTATTATTAGCTAAGGAGATTATCTAGCAGGTATCGATAAGCCTTGTACACACATCGGTTCATATGTAATTCGTAAAATGAATGTCTCTAAAAAAGGAGGAATGTTAATTATGTGAAATTTTTACAAGTAATTGCTACTATCCAGAAAAGGAAAGTAAATGGCTGAATGTGACTGTGTGTGTGCTGTGTATATAAATTATCGTTGTAACTATAAATTCTATATGTATGTGTGTGCGTGTGTATGTGTCTAATCAATAGCGATTTTCCCTACCTTGTTACCTTGTTTAATACTCATTCCGTCCGTATACATTTAGATTATATGCGTCAATCAATCTGAAATAATAATAGGCGAATAGGAAAATGAGAATGAGGTATAATATACTAGTTGGGTGTGTGGTGGATATCACAATGCATAGAAAAGGAAAGACTGTTCTCTCACTGTCTTTACCACTCTACTTCTACTACTACATGTGAAGACAGGAAGAAACTGTTCACCTTATAGTCCTTTTTATTCGTTAATCTAATGGACATTATATGTCTACTGTAAACGCTCGATCATTTGATTGGTTAAGAGTAAATTTCATACCAATCAAAATGTACATGTTTGCGTTATCCGCGTTTTTCTATTGGTTATTTGTTTTTATTAGTATGAAAGACAGAAAGAGCTGTAGTGGCCTAATTTTAGGTCTGTGAGTTGAATTATCGACATAAAAGTGATTAGTTCTCTGGCTGGTTGTATAATATCAGAGAGAATGGCATTTTTCTAGATATTCTGCATCGTATGGTCACTGAATCAAATGGCATTTTTGACTGAATTCTATGTTAGTAGTAGTAGTAGTAGTCAGCAATGGTTAGGCGAAAGTAGCATACTCTATTAATGGAGCATACAGAGACTGCCGTACATTTCCACAAGATAGTTGTGTTAATAACGATGTTAATACGTAGTGAAATGGTTTGTGACATTTATTTGTCCTCGAAAAAGCACTTAATTTCAGTCCACTGTACTACTGAGAAGTTCAAATACATGGGGTCCTCTGATTTCGATGTGAAATCAGATATTAATAGATGATACTGGATTAAAAATGACACTAAATCGTGAATTCACATAGTTTTATGAAAATAAAGCTCTGCCTAATCGAATGAAAACTTTAGTACATCATATGGTGATGGTAATGGGTTCCCTCCTACGTGGAATTGTAGTTATACCCTGCTCTAAGATTCTAAACAGGAATAAAGCGACTGTTTAGTACTTTCTACCTAGTAATGGTGTTTTAGTTGACTCCTATTCATCGATGAACCTAAGCTGAAACTGAACATATGAAACTTAACAGCATAAACAGAAAAATGTCAAATTTATGCGGTTATTCACTATTAGCTCTTATTTCTGTCACAAATATTATTTCAGATGTAGTCACAGATTGATATCGACTGGAGAACCATTGAAGACCGGGGTGGGCGAGTACTTCCGAAGAGTCCCAAACTAGGACGAAACCCTTCTCCTATACTCTCTATTTTTCAATGGTTCTGCAGTTGACAGTGATCCGTTATCAAATCTGATATAAATCAATTTTCTAAAAATTCATTCCTGAAAACAGATATTATTACGCAAATTTAACTGTGATTTGATCTGCCAGCCACTATACAGAGCTGTATATGGAAAAGATGATTAACTATGAATACGGATAATAGTCATTTGTCGTCCATAAAACTTAAACTGAAATAATAGCACGCTGAGGGAAAATTTGCAATGAATTCCTATCATAAGTATTACAGAAACCATATACAAAAACAATACGTCTTCTTTGCCTTTTGACCATCTTGTTTGCAGTATCACTGTTCGACTATGAGAACTATGAAGGATCACTTCGATTCAAAACAGACCTCCGTAATTCGATAAAAGCCGAAATACCACTGAAAACTAAAGGTCAGCTGGACACCCACCTTATCCTACGACTTCAATATCACTAAATGTCTTGGTAAATGTACTACTATCCACTTGTCGAATGACTTTATGGCGGACAGATAGGATTTAGAAAAGCATTGAGTGAATGCTAAGATCCGTGTAACGATATCCGATAGACTTAGACCTATAATAAGTACTTGATGACTACGAAACACTTATGTAGATTTATTCTCCATGGTTCTCAGATTGATGACAATTCACCTTTCAAAGATGGCTTCAAACTAAATGTCAGTGATTATAGGCGATAGTTTTCTTCCGAATACTACAAACCTGACTTATTTGGAAAGTTATTAGCGTGACTGATTGCTCACCTAGTTGGTAAAATGACCAGGAAACAGAATATAACACAGATTTGACGTGAAATCAATGCAATAGTATTTTTATGATGAAAAGGTTATCATTACAACTTGTTGATTTTTTTTCATTGAACGTGTTCCTATCAGTTCCACTACTTTGTGGTGGTGTGATACGCACACAATGAGTTCCAAGGGAATATCATTGTATTTGTTGCTGTTAACGTCTGAATACTATTCCCACAGTTCACTATTGCATTAGAAACAGAATACTATATGTATGTATTTGAACATTCTATTTCATGTCGTTTAGTGTGACCCGAAATGACACGCTCAAACGATTGGTTAAAGAATATAAACTGTATAGATATAAATAGCGGTTTGATCACTTGAAAATACATCTTGGCTATCGTGTCTTGCCTTCTGCTGTTACACTACTACTATCGAAATGTGATGACCATTTTGACCTTATGTAATAAAAACAATTTTGAATGCATGGAGGATTTCATCATGAGCTGACATCAGTTAGAAAACCACCGGAAAACCCGGGAGTAATGGACAGTTGTTTCGTCATAGTTTGGGACCCTTCAGCAGTACGCACCCACTGAGGTTCGAACCCAGGATCTTCTGGTAACCCATGGTATGGGTGCGTATTGATGAAGGGTCCCAAACTGGGACGAAACAGCTGTCCATTACTCCCAGGTTTTCCAGTGGTTCTCTAACTGATGTCAGCTCATGATGAAGTCCTCCATGCAATCAAACAAAATCCCTACAAAACCAATACTTAAAAACAAATTTAAAAAAAATTAGTCTTCAATTTTTTCTGCATTATAAAGAGAAGAAAATAAAATCACTCACGATATTTGAAAAGTTCATCTGTTTTTTGTTTTTGTTTTTTCACAGAAGTGCATTATGAAAATAATAATGATTTTTAAAACTTTCACTTCTTCTATACATATATTTGCAGATGACTGTTTTTTCAATGATTGTAACACAGAGTATATATCAAACTCACCGACAGATTGCGTAATTCGACCTTTTCACAACGAAATGAAAACTATAGGAAGTAAACAATCGATAATAATTATAGATTTGATAAGTTAAGTTCAAGGTTGTAGTACGTGAGTAGAGTAGGTGGAATGTAGTTTCATAATAAGCGATTTTTTCTTTCAATATTAATTATTGCAAAGGTGTTTTATTTCACCAATAGTATGTATGCATATATGCATGTATGTTATAGCAGCTCTTAGATTTCAGCTGACATATCCTATTAGAAATCATCATTTACAAATGACACATTTGTGTGATGGGAATCAATTGTCGTCTTCTCTGAAACACAGTATAATATTCATATTACAGTATGGGATCTTTATGATAGTATAAACGGTATTCAGGAGGGAAGACAAGCAATATAGGTAAGGTGATATCTATCCAACTGATTGATATGAACATTTAGAGAGTAATTATGTTAAGCTTTAATGTCACACAAACTCGAAGACATACAGGCGAAAACCAAAAAACTTACTGAATGAGCAGGCAGTGAAGACAGGACTCCAGGTGAACATAGAGAAGACCGAGGTGATGAAGATAACCATCCAACCAACCAACAGCAACAACAACCAGCAGTAATCACTATGAGAGGGAGAGATTAGACAGAGGTTACCTCCTTCACTTATCTGGGGAGTACGGTTTCAACCATAGGCAACAGCATGGATGAAGATATCAAAGCTAGCCAGAATCAGAAAGGCAAGATAGGCCTTCATCAGTCTGAAACCAGTTTGGAAATCTTCTGCACTGACTAAGCATAAAGAAAAAAGATTCGGATTGTCAACACAAATGTGAAGTCAATCACTTCTTCTATACTGGTTAGAAACTTGACCAGCGCGTCAAGAAAAGCATTTCTAACAGGCTAATGCAGACTTTTATCACCAATACCTGTCTTCACTGGCTCCTTACTGAAGACCAAATGGCCAGCCATCCGACCAGAAAGAAATAGCAACAAGAAACTCTGCAATGGAACGAACCAACCAAGATTTGCATTTAATAGTGTTCTCTGAGCTGGTTTGCTTAGTTGCTGAACTTTCGTCGTCCTTCTCAACAACATCTTCAGCGCAATTTTTAGCGTAAAGTGAACTGATTTAAATTTCTCCATGAGTGATAGATTTACGTCTCCCGGTAACCATCTTTACACATGTATTGATCATTTTCTGTTGACTTGGATTTTAAACTTTCTCGTCACATGATTTACTTTTTATTGTTTGGTGGATTTGGTCTATCTTAACATGTTTGTTAAATCACATATTCTTTTGAGCACCAGGCTTCTAGGAATTCCCTGACTGCACTTTTGGTGTTTCCCCTGTCTAAGATTTTGACATCATCCCAATCAAACTGATGTCCATAATTGTCTATTTGCATTGATATGAAAGAATATATATCGTATCTTTTCACGGCTGATTTGTGTTCCTGGATTCTGATTCGAAGGGAACGCCCACTTTGGCCGATGTAATGTCTGTTACAGTTCATACAATTTATTTTGTAAATGGTATTAATTTTTATCTTCTTTTTCTGTTGGATCT